TCAACGCAGGGGGGGGGGGGAGAGTGGGATAGTCTGGGTTGGGGAACCTGTGGCCATCCAGATGTGGCTGGACTCGAACTCGCACCAGCCTCAACCAGCACAGCCAACGGTCAGGGATGAGAGCTGGTGTACTGTTAGTGGATAGAGTGTCGGGTCAGGACATGGGAGGCCAGGGTTCGAATCTCCCACTCAGCCATGAACGAAGCTCACGGGGTGACCGTGGAGTCAAGCACTGGCTATCAGCCTAATCTACCTCGCAGGGGTGTTGTGGGGATTAGAGGAGGAGAACCGTGCAAGCCAGCCCTGTGCTCCATGCAGAACTGGGGGAGGGGGCGTATATTAAATGAATAAATGTCCCAGGAATAAATTGGTCAGAAGACTCGCTTGCGTTGCAACCCACACACCCAACACACCTTCTGCTTTCAGTTCTGCGAAAACAATTGATTTGGCTTACACAAATCACACAAGGCATGAAGTTTGAAAAGCCCTTTAAGTCTCATCGGCAAATACAGGATGGAACACAGAGGTGTGTCTTATATACAAGGTTAGATTCTGTGACCTTTCAGCCCCCTGTTGTCTATTAGGAACGAAGCATTAGTATTGCTTGATTAGAAACACAGGAAGTTGCCTTAAGGCATCAGGCTATTGAGCAATCTCTGTAGCTTCATCTAGTCCAGTACTGCCAACTCTGGCCGGCAGTGGCTCTCCAAGGCAAGGGGGGGGTCTTCTTCGTCATCTTTCCACTGGAGAGGCCAGTGACTGAATCTGGGATGTTCTGCATGGAGGGCTGTTCTCCCTTAGCAACAGAGGGAGATGCTTTATAATGAGCCAAAACACTGGTCCGTCTAGCTCAGTACTGTCTACACTGACTGGCAGCAGCTCTCCAGATTTTCAGGCAGGGGGCTCTCCCAGCCCTAGCTGGAAGGGCTGCAGCTTGAACCCGGGACCTGAAAGCAGATGCTCTACTGCTGCACTACGGGCCTTCCCTCGGTGGAAAAAGCAAACGCACTCTGCACATGCTCAGTTACCCTTGGAATATCCTGCACAGAAAATATTCTACGGCGCAGTTCTGAGTTAAGCTCCCTCTCCAAACATCCACAGTGGGGGGAACAGACCAACGGTGCTCTGCACATGCTTGATTGTACTTTTGCCTTTCAAATTAAGCCTGGCTATGACTTTAAAGCCATGCCAATCAGCTGTGCATATTATACCTGAGCGTAGGAGGCAGAGACAGAGAGGAGGGCGGGCTGGGATGCCATATTGGGGACGGCACACCTGATGCACATGGTGTAATTTCATCTGAGAGAACCCGGTGCTGTCTGGGAAGGCCTTCTCAAATGCAGCGGGGGGTTGGGGGGGTGGGCTGGCTTACCACATTCTGAAGTGTATTAAATAACCCCCACTTTCATCTAAGGAGAACACCAAGCCTCTTACAAGAACATTTAGTCCATAATCTGAAATCGCCTAACCACATCACTGCCCACCCACCACACAATTCCACGCACACAAGCACAGAACAAAATCCTGACCACCTATAAGCAGCCCCTAACATGACGGAATGGGACTCAAGTGGCGCTGTGGGTTAAAGTGCAAGTAGATAAGTAGGTACTGCTCTGGTGGGAAGGTAAACGGCGTTTCCGTGCGCTGCTCTGGTTCGCCAAAAGCGGCTTAGTCATGCTGGCCACATGGCCCAGAAGCTGTACGCCAGCTCCCTTGGCCAATAAAACGAGATGAGCGCAGCAACCCCAGAGTCGGTCACGACTGGACCTAACGGCCAGGGGTCCCCTTTACCTTTAACATGCTGGAAGGGAGGCTATTCTGGTAGGGCAAATGGGAGCACAGCCCCAACCCCTGTACGAACATAGGAATTTGCCTTATTATGTACCATGCCAACAATTGGTCCATATAGCTCAGGATTGCCTACACTGACTGGCAGCAGCTCTCCTGAGTTTCGGGCAGGGACACTCCCATTCCTACCTGGAGAGGTGGGAAATCAAACCTTTGATTCTGCATGCACAACAGGTGCTCTACCACTAAGCTATGGCCCTTTCCTTTCCCCTCCCATTTTAATGTTTATTAATCCCCCCAAAGCAGCTATGGCCCTTTCCTGAGCCTGCTCTCAGCCTACCTTCTTACTTACAGCCAGTCCAGAGGGTGGCCTGGACTGTCAGCTTCCTCCCCCCCCCCTAGTCTCAGTGTTGCCCCTTGTATATTATTCAGCAGGAAGGAGGAGGGTGGGGGGCAAAACTAGACTCAGCTGGCTCTGCCTGCCATTGGCTCTGGCGCCACCTGCTGGTGGGCTCCCTGCCTGCTGCCCAATCAGCCCCAATGGCAAGCAGACACCCCTGGGGGCTGCCTCCATCCCCAGGCCACTCTGGTAGGGCATAAGATGACTGATGAGGCTTGAAGCTCCTGACAGAGGTAACCGGACAGTGCTATGTGGTCTCATGCACCAGAGCTGTGGAAGGGTTTGCGCAGGGCGCTCTGTTCTAAACCGCACGTATCAGGATTCCTTGCCACAGCTTGTCACTTTTGAGTCTCATTTCCCAAACTATTCCCTAACCTTTCAACGTATTGTTAATAATAAACAACCCCCACCCCGACTTATCGATGCCAACGAAGGTGTGTTAGTGTGTGGGTGTGCATGGGTGTGTGGGTGGGGGAAGAACGCAGCCAACGGGCAGAAGAAGGGAGAGGGAGACACAGGGCTGCAGCAGCCAAGGGGTTAAAAGACAGTAGCATCCGGATTATTAGTAGGGAGCATCATTTTGTAAACATATGTAGTTTCCATGGCAACCAGAGCCAGGTTCCTTGGTTACGGATGGAGGGTGGGGAGGGGGGGAAGAGAGAAGGGAAAGCAAAATTAGGAGGGGATGGATGGATGGAACAGAGGGAGGAAAATGTGTGTGTGTGTGTGTGTGTGTGTGTGTGTGTGTGTGTGTTCCTCTCCCCCCCCCCCCCTTTTCTTTTCTGGGATTCCTGGAAGCGTCACCGAAAAGGAAGGAAGGAAGGAACAAAAAAAATGGGGGGGTAGAGAGAGGACAGAGAGTCAGGTCGTCCCAGAAAAAGGCACATGAGGAATACAAACGGATAGATAACCAAAGCTATTTTAATACGAACCTCCCCTATTTTCTGTCCGACTCTTCAGGCAAAGAAAAATGCAATAATAGGGAGAATGTGTGTGGGGTGGTGCAGAGGATTCTGAGCCCCACAAGAAAAAAAAGTGCATATTCCACCACTGCCACCCCAAAAAATTCTTCTACCCTCCTCACCACTGTCTTTCTTCTTCCTCTTTAACAAAAAAATAACAACGGAAATGAGCAGAATTGAGAGGAAGTGTGTTCAATATCAAGTCAGAGGTGCAGTCCTGTGTGAGGTGCAGTTCTCCCCAGCCACAAAAAAACCCCACATACCTTAATAACTATAGGGAGAGCAAAGAAGATGAAGGAAGGGGAAAGAAACAGCAGGTAGTGGCTAGGATTGAGCGAAAGTAGGATCTGCTGGCTTCTGAAATCCTCTCCCACTGTCCCCCTAAATGAGATTCTTTGCCTGGTAACAGCACCCCCTCCCCCAAAAAAGAGTATCAATTTCCTCCAATAGGCCCAGAAATAATGCTGGATTTTGTAGCACAGAAACACTGGTTCCTGGTATACAAGATGCCGACTGCCCGACTCTTCCCAACCCAAACCCATGAAAATCTCTAGTGCCATGTTTACGGACCCCCCAAACACAGAGGGATCTCTACTTACCACACCTTGTCCCCACCCATCCAAATAAATCCCCCCCCACTGTTCGGTTTTCTCACCCACATGCTCCCCTCTTTTCAGAAACCCACCTGCGTTCCAGCAGGGAGCAAGAAAGAAACCCCACAAACCGTCCCGCAAACCCACAAACCAGATTAGCAGATAAGGCAGCTGCTCACAGTGCCCCACATTTGGAGGGCTGTTTCTTTGGCTTTTAACCACATTGCCCAGGACCCCTTGCTATTGCTTAGTGACCCCAGCACCCACTATTTGAGATCAAGCAATTGCCGCCACCCCCATCCCAAAACCCTCATGCCCTCTACCACTGGGCAACAGCCTTATGGACTTTAGCCCCCCTCTACTTCCTTCCAGATGGCAGGCGGCTGGCTCTGGGTTCAAAGGACTGGGGAAGAAGACATGTAGCCAAGCAGGAATTGGGTGAAAACATCACTGCCCCGCCACCAACCCTTTCAGAGATGAGCTCTCCCAACTTCCCCATCACCAAACCTCCCTGTGGGGTTTCCTTCAGCCCCATCTTCAGCTTCTCCAATCTCCCCCCACTGCCACCTATCCCCCCAAACACACACTGCCTGTCTGTGCTCCCCTCATTCCATTCTGTAGCCCCCCCCGCTGCTTATCCCTTTTAATTGCCCCAGCTTGACCCCTCTCTCACCCCAATTGCCTCCCTACTCTCCCACCCCACTGCCTGCCCCATTGGAAAACTCTGCCGTCTCATATCACCCCCAACACACTTTGGCAGCTGCTGCCCCCTTCTTTGAGTCCCACTGAGGAGTCCCCTGCCCCCACCTCCCTAACCCCATTTAGTCCCTCAATGCCCCCCAATTTCCTGATCTCTCCACCCCTATTTCCCCCATTTTTGACAACATCCCAACCAACCGCTCATTCCGCACTCGCAGCCCCACTGCCTCTTGCCCTCCCCAGAGACCCTGCTCTCTTTCTCCCCCCCCACCCTGGGGTACCCCAGATGTTCCCCTCCATGAACCCCCAGCCCGTCACAGAGCCTCCCCCCCCTTGGATCTGCCTCAACCCCCAGGTGCATTTAAATGCACCCTTTGCTGCCCTACTTGTAACCTCCCACCCCAGTCCTGTTGCCTATCAATGCCCCCCACCCCATCCTGCCCCGCTTGGAACATCCCCTCACCCCCCAGCCCTCCCCACACACCCAGCCCAGCTCTTCACCCCCCCCCACACCCCACATGTCCCCCCTTCCAGGGTGGGGGGAAGCCGACGACTCACATGCCAGATGACGAAGAAGATGAGCGAAGCGCAGAGGACCAGGGTGAGCATGTAGCAGAAGGCGGCAAAGGTGAAGGCCATGGCGGGGCGGAGGGGGCGCGCCGTCGGTGGTGGTGCCAGTAGCGGCGGTGCTGTCGAGGGAGGGGGCGGCCCGCGACCTCCCCCCCACTTTGGCAACCTCCTCCTCCCTCCCCCACCCCCCGCCCCGAAGGCAGCAAAGGCGGGCGCGCAGCTACTCCGCCATGGGGCAGAGCGGCAGGCGAGGAAGGTGCGAGGAGGCGGCTAGAGGAGCTGCTGCGACGACGCCCCCTTCATCCTGCTCCTTCGCCGCCGTCTGCCGGGAGAGGGAGAGCGAGGCGCCCTCGCCGACGACGACGACGAGGAGGAGGAGCTGCAAGCGGCGGCGGGAAGGGAGCGGGGCGGCGCCACCGAGGAGAGTTGCCTTGGCGGGGCCGCTTCTACCTGGAGGAGCTGCTGCTGCTGCTGGAGAAAGAGGGCGGGCGGGGAGGAGGGAGTCGCCCCAGGAAGGGTGCGCGCCCCGCTCTCCCCCCGGGGTGGGTTGGTGGGGGGGGGGTAAGAGGGAGAGTCCCCTGCTCGGCTCCCAGGGAAGGAGGAGCACGTGGCGGGGCTGCGCTGGGGGGGGGGGGGGCGCCCGGAGAGGAGGAGGAGCGAAGGAGGGAGCCTCGTGGGGCTCCAGTCGGAATAAGGCAGCGGTGGTGCAGTGGTTAGAGCATAGGAGCCAACTCCTAGGGGCCGGGGTCTCCCCAATAAAATAGTTGAGCACTGCCATTCAAGTGGCGCGCGCGTGCGTGTGCCGTGTCGTGTGATTGATGGTACGGGACAGGGCTTACTTGCCCCACCAGATTTTCTTGGCGCTGGAGCATTGCGGGAGGACCGCGGAAGAGAACAGGGTTGGGGTCCCCGCCCTCCTCAGCCACGAAGCTTTCATCTTGAACCCTGCCCTGCCCTCCTACCTCACAGAGTTGTTGTGGGGATTAAATGAGATGGAGGGGCGGAATGGGAGAAGAACCACGTGCCAAGCCAGCCTTGAGCACCTTGGAGGGGTGGGTGGGGAAAGGAAGGTAGGATATGCAATCAATCAATCAATCAATCAATAAAATGAGATCTGTAATATGGGGTCTACAGTGCAATCCTAGCGGTGTCTACTCGGAAGTTAAGTCCCAGGGGATTTGAACCCTGGTCTCTGGCGTCCCAGCCCAGCTCCTTAACCACTACATCTTTACACTGGGGGTAAAGGATTTCATACAGTAGCGTGGAGGTATTAAAGGGGTCTTTCCCTTGCCCTTCGACACTATACATACATAGAGAGAGATATATAGGACCCGCTTTTCAAAGTTCTTTTAATGTTGTGTTTTATACCGTAACCCGCCCTGGGACCTTGGGTAATAATAATAAATGATGCGTAAAAGGAGATGTTATGGCTGCGGTGCTGCGTTCAAAGGGGGCGAGCCTGCAGAGTGTGCGCGCGTGTGAAAAGGGGGCGTGGCTGTCGGCGATCGTGGGCGTCCAAATGTGAGTCGGAGGAGGCGTGGCTCAGCGTGCGCTGCATACAGGCGCGTGTGAAAACATCGAAGGGAATGTGGTTGCGCGCCAGTGTGTGGAAGAGGTCGTGGTTGTCCATATGGAGGGGGGGCATGATACCGTATACACATACATACATTGAGCAGTAGCCCATCATGTTACATCTACTTAAGTGTAGCCACTTTGGAATAAAAGCACACTGCTCATTTAGGCCCATTCATTTCAGTGGCTCTGCTTGTGAGTAGAACTTGGTTGGAATCCGCACTTCCCCATTTATTGCTCGGAGTCCCGGAAAGTTTTATGTAGTGGCTAACAAATCTGGATGATAAATGCATGATACAAAAATGAGAGGGGGGAGGGAGGAAATTGGGGAGAGGTGTGAGTGTGTGGATGCATGAGGGGCTTGTGTTTGCATAGAGGAGAGCGACGGGGCAACTGGCTTGCCTACACGCCATACGTTAAAGCACATGGCTCCTCACCACCAAATAAACTGGGAACTGTTGTTCGCTAAGGGTGCTGGGAATTGTAGTTCTGTGAGGAACAAACTGCTGTTCCGAGGATTCTGTCTGTGTTTTAAATGCATTGCGTGTGTATGTGGTGTGTGTCAGACAGACAGACAGGGGAGAATGGGGCACATAACCTGTCAGGAAAGAGTGAATGGGAAAGGCTTGTGTAGGAGTGTGGATTATGAGGGGGAAAACATGAAAGGGAAATGTGAGGAAGCAGTGTGGTTGTGCTATGATTTACCAGGCTCTTCCTCACACCTCATTCTTCTCTTTCCCGCCCAAATCCATTCCTATGTCTCCTCCTGCCTCTCACCCGTATTTTCAGTCAGCTCCCTCATATTCACGGTTTCCTCGCAACGTCTCTCTCATGTATGCAGTTGTTTCTTTCGTCTCTCTCTTATGTATGCAGTTCTTTCTTTCATTTGCAAGCTCTCTCTCTCTCTCTCTCTCACACACACACACACACACACACACACTGCCTTCACCACAGGCAGGACGTGTGAACAGACAAGGGTTGGCGTGGAAAACAAGAAGAGAGGGGTGTGTTTGTGTGTGTAAGAATCGCACGGGGTCTCCGTGTGAAGGAAAGGGAGCCGAATGGGAGGCCAGGGCAGCTCCATTTTGGTGTGCATGGGCACACTTGTGTAAAAACATGAGGGAGACAGTGTTGTGGCTGGCAGAGAGGGAGGGAGGGAGGGAAAGTAGTGCGACTGATTGACAGAAGCGCAGTGTGTGAGAGGAATGTGTGGTGTGTTAGGACCGAAAGATGTTATGAGAACCCTTTTTTTAGTCAACAAATTTTTAAGCCAACAAATATGTATGGGTAAGATAGGTACATGGCGTGTTTTATTCAAGAATTCCTACATAGAAGTGTCTTCTGTAAGGTACAAGGGCAGCCAAACATGGTGCTGACTGGATGCTGTTGAACTAAAACTCCCACCAGCACCAGCCAGCACAACCAGTGGGAATAAACTACAGGGGTAAACTACAGTTCCCGGGATTGTCAGGAGGAAATAATGTGTGTTCAGTATATGGAGTGTCCGCAGCCCTGGTCACTGTGTCTGTCTCTCAGTGTGTCCTTCCCCCATAACTCTTAAAAAAGACAGACGGCTCTTAATACAGTACACGCATTCAGAGCTTCTTTCCTCACATACTGATGAAATCTGACAAAATGTTCTATTCTGTCAGAAGCATCGATCAGTTGTCAACAGGAGCTGCCAAAGCAAGCTGTTGGATCCCTTTTTGGGGATTTGTGGGTTTTTTTTAATGGGGTGGTAGTGTCTGAGTGTTTGTGCACACCCCCTCCTTCAACAGAACTTCAATAATACATGGTATTCTAATTAAGATTATTGCTCCAATGAATCAGTGGGTAGTTACACACAATAATGAATATTTTATTCATTTAAATTGTGATTGGAATATGTGTGCCTGTGTATGTCTCTCTCTTTCCTCAAGGATATTCCAGGCTCCTTCCTGAACATTCATATTCCATTCTAAACAAAAGACAAAAGTCTTGTCCTACCGCAGTTTAAAATTACAAATCACAACTTTTTTAAATGGAGGCAGCCTTAAGAGGTATGTGGTATAGTGGTTAGAGCGCTGGACTCATAACCCCAACCTTGACCAGGGTTCAAATCTGCATCCAGCCCATGATTGTGGGCCATTCACTGTACTTCAGCCTAAATTACCTCACAGGGTTGTTGTGAGGATAACATGGGGCCATGTATACCACCTTGAGCACCTTAAATGAAAGGTGGGGGTATAAATGTTATAATAACTGAGGGCTCCTTCAAGATGCAATTCTTTATTCCATTTATACCCCCCCTTTCCTCCAAAAAGTTCAAGGTTGTTCTCTCCATCTCCACATCTTTTACCCTTCAATCCTCCCAACAATCTTGAGAGGTAGGTTAGGCAGAGAGTTGGTGCCTGGCCTGGGATCACCCAATGAGGTTTGTGGCTGAGTGGGGATTTGAACCCAGGTCTCCCTAATCCTCGTTTGACCATTCCAGCCATCTGTCTCAGAACCAGGGTGCCAGGTGATGCTTTCGCCACATTTTAATAAATGGGGATGAAGCTTATTTCAGCAGGCACGTCCAACAGGTAGACCGTGACTCCCTCCCTCCTAAAAAAAGCTCAACAACTTTTGACCTGAACCCCCCCAAAAAAGGGGGTAGATCACTGTCAGTTTTTAACTCTGTGAGTAGATCGCAGTCCCTTGGGAGTTGGCCACCCCTGCCCTACAGTAATGTGCAGCAGCTTCTACAGTTCACTTGTACCTTCTCACACTTCTTCCCAGTACCAGGTTTCTAGAGAACTTTGGACAAGACCCCATGGCCTCTCTCCTTCAGTGAGTCACTCCTTTACAGCAAGCCTTGCTCAGACTTCTGCCTTTGCAACTGGAACCTCAGCGTTCCTGAGGACTAGAAACCTGCTTTGAAAAACAAAATGCCCAGCCATACCAACACTTACGCCAGCCTTGCAGCGCTTGATTATATCAAAAAGCTACCTTTACAGCTTGGGACCAGGATACCTGGAAGATTATATACCCAATCAATCACTGTGTGCAGCAGGAGAGGGCCTCTGGCAGATATCATCTTTTGATATAGGAATTGGGCCTGTGTTGTGTTGTGTGGTAGCTACCCCTTTGTATCTCCTTCCCATTAATTATGGTCTCTCTTGCCATTCCAGCACCTGCTGAAGGCCTTTTAACAAGCCTTTTAAGATGAGATATTTCCCAGTCTGCATCTGTACTGGGATTGTTTCAAAGGTGTTTGTGTGTTTGCTGCCCTGGACTCCTTCAGGAGGAAGGACCAGATGGAAACTTAAATAATAACAATAGAATCTCCCTCTTTTAAAGGCTTAGAAACGGATTCAGATTTTCTGCATGGGTGGGTTCAGATACTGCAAATGTTTCATCACAATAACAGCACTGATATATATATATATATATTGGTTTGGGTGGTACACATGTGCATTTAGCTTTATTAACTGATTGATCAGCTGCAAGTGATCCAAATTAAGTCAGCCAAAAAAATGCCCTAATCAGTTGACAGGCCTGGGAGGTGGGGTAGGGCACACACAAGAAGATGCGGTTTTGGCACATAACATACCTTACAAAAACATCGGCTCTAAACCCCATGCAAATCCCTGGAATCTGGGCTTTGTACTCTGGAGGCTTTGTCTACTTGTTGTTGTTGTTCAATTTGTCAGAAACACATTGGGGCTCCCCCCCCCACCTTCCCCCAAATCCCTCAGTATTGTTAATTCCATTTTGAGCCGTTCTTTCACGCAGGTTTTAAAGGAACTAATCCCATCTCTTGGATTACACGATGCAAGAACAACATCGAGATCCACCCACCAGCCCCTTCCTCCCTGCCCAGAGCGCCAAAGTGAGGTAAGAACCTTAGGGAAACAGCAGTCGCTGGCTTTAAGACCATGTCACTAACCGAAAAGCGATGGGGTT